TGTGGATGTGAGTGTGGGGTGTGGGATGTGGGTGTGGATGGATGAAGAGAAGACCCACACCCACACCCACCCAGATATAACTGTCACAGAATAGTTAAATTAAAAATTTACTAGTCATTAGTAACAGATTAGTAGCGCAGACTATCACCTACTAACAACTAATTAGTGACGACGTACATTACTTACTGACAGCATAATAATAAAATTTTTGTAGTTTTGATTTTTTTTTTTGGTAATCGAAGCAAAACGAAAAAATACTGTTAAAACGTTTTTTTTCGAAAAAAACGCGAAATTGGGGCGTTTTTAACGGTTTTGTCAAATTTAGTTGAAAACAAACTGTGAAAACAATTTAAAAGTGAAAAATTCAGTGGTAAATGCGTTTAAACGAGTTAAAACGCCTTTCTGGCCGTTTATTGTCTGCCTGGAGTGTGGGTGTGGGAGTTGGTATGTGGGGTGGCGGGTGTGGGTGTACGGATCACTTTAATCACATCCACATCCACACCCACACTCACACCCTATTCTCTATTAACAAATCATTTTGGGTGTGGGTGTCTGTGTTAATCTACAATTTATCGATAGTCACACACACATTCCAAAAGAACTTCATTCCCTTTTGTTGTGTTTTTGTTATGTTATGAACCTTTGCCGAGTTAAAAAACTTTTGGCCTATCAATAAAAACCTTGCTTATTTTGCCCAATGGGTTTTTTCGACACAAGCGAAGTTTGCCCATTTGTCTAAAAATCCTGGCTACACCACTGATTGGTTCCACTCATCAATAGTGTATGCATTCCTTAGGACTGAGATTTCGGTAGAATGGTTAGAACTCTGCTACAGAAGTCTAACATCATTTTTCCTATTGGTGATGTTTCATATATTATCGAGAGCTACTTTAATATAGTAAATCCTTAGAATTTCCTCGTCAATCAAGGAGAAAAAAGAACAAATATGTTGTAGTTTACTTTATAAAACACTATAGAAGATTAACCTTAGTGATTTGGGAGATCCTAAGTAACTTTTAATATAAACTCAAAGGAAATAGTGGCTACTATTGTAAACTAAACAATAATGATAATTTTGATTTCTTAGAGATAAAACATATCGTTTGTTATGGTGTGAAATCGAATATTTTGTTCGTGGTTATAAAGACATATCAGATAATAATCATCGTCATATTCATCAAAATATTATCGATCGACAAAAAACAGATAATGAAAATGATTCATCAATTTATCATAGGTAACAAAAACAAAACAAACAATAGAATAACTTCCTTTTTTTTTTTTGTTTTTTCATTGGCATATTCTATTAATAAAAATAGATTTTGTCTTTCCTATTGATGGAACATCATCATCTAGTAGAATTATGATAAAATGAAAAAAATATTTCACAACAAATTAATGACGAAAAAAAAATAGTCAAATAGAGAGAGAATTCAGTGGTACGAAACAAGTAGTTGCAGATAAAAAATTCTTGTTATAAAATCTAGACAAAAATAAAAAATATTTTCTTTATTACGAAGTTAATTCAATGTGAGGTATGTTGAACCGAAAACATCAAAAATATTGTGCACTTCAATTCGATGGTTGTGCTGAGGATGTAGGCATGAAAGAAAAAAAGATTCCCAATTACCGACACACTCAAATCAAAATCCACAGCCACCCATAGTCTTATTGAGTAACAGACAGAATAAATAGATAATACTTTGGTGTTAACAGTGACGAATAGAAATCTTTGTATCATTATCATGTGAATTTAAATGTTAAAAATTAATATAGAATCCATACATATGTGAACAATTGACAAAGTGTAATAACTATGAAATCACAGTTAAAAATTGTGAAAAAAAAGTGGAAATATCAATGTTAAATTTATTTCATGAACGTTGCACCGATTGTTAGGATCTCTAGAATATGAATGACATTAATATATTAAACATATCTGAAGTTATATCTTTTTGAGCATCCAGCCTAAAAAAAACTATACTTAAATCGAAAATTCTATTATTGTTAAGATAACTTGTCCAATAGTTTTGACTTTCAAGCTATTTATGAAGATTTATATCAATAAAATCCGTTGTCCAACCAATCATATATGAAACAATAAAATCCGCATTGTGCTCTTAGTTTTCTTGTATAATAGATTCAGAGAATATAACTGAAAATCTAATAAATGTCATAATCCATGACTATGTTATTATTCCATCATTAAATAATTCTTGAACAATTTCATGATGAATATTTTTGAGATTCACCATTGATGATGATGATGGACGAAATTTAAATGCTGATTGCTATGAACAATACGATACTTCACGATCCGAAACAATTTTACATATAATTTCAAACAGGAGATCATTATGAATTTTAATTGTTTTTCTTTTTTAACTACCAATCGAAGCAATCACTTATAACTGATTGAGTTTTCATTGAATGATCATGAGAACACATGATTATTTTTTATGAATGAAAATGAATTGAGTTCATGAACTTATATATTTTCATTCTCTCGCTCTCTCTCTCTAATTGTAATTGGTTGCACAGTCGCTCGATAACCATATTCTCTATGGTTGTAATCTATTGTTTTTCTTTTATCTTGCTAATTACATAATCACTTTCAAATGTTAACATTATTTATTGATTATCTCTCACAATTCTACTAGAGATTTATTGAAATTAGAAATGATTTACGATGAACAAGCGAAAAAAAAATTAAAAGAGTTTTCCGAAAGCAGACAACATTCTCCATAGAACTTCATTAAATTCACATACAAATTTTTCTAAGCTGGTAGGAGACGAGATAAGATTGGTACATTACCACTTCTTTGAAAAATAATGATAAATATTTTGTTTTTAAAAAGTAAGCATAAATTTTATAAAAAATAAAAATATGAAAAAAAAGAACATTATCATTTATAAAACAACGATAAAAAGAAACGTTAATAAAAGAAGAACGAAATTGAATGAGTCATTATCGTCATCTGCTTCGTATGCAACTATATTATTAACATCAACAGCTAAATCAAATTGTGGCTTTTCTCCAACACTATCATCAATAAAAACTTCAACATGTTTTGAACAAATTCTGTATTTTGAAATGAACATATTATGAAAATTTAAAACAATACATAGCGAAATATTCTCAATCATTAAGATATCGTTTAAATCCTAGTGAAATTGGTGAATTATTTTAAAATATTGAAAAAACAAATATAAAGATTAAGCAAAAACAAAAGGCAAGTTTCTTGTATTGAATATTTTCTTTCATATGTCAACCTTACTAAATGAAGATATATCAATATCAAATATTTATCAATCAATGCTGAGAGTAATTCATTCATACAGAAAATATTAAGATTTAAGGAATATTGTAATAGTTGAGAATATTTCAACATATATTGTTTTCAATTTTCATAATATATTCTTTCCAAAATGTTGAAATTGTTAAAAACATGTTGAAGAAAAGCCAATGTCCAAATTCAATATTGATCATATTGTTATAAAAGCAATAGATGACTATAATGAATCATTCAATTTCGTTGTTTTCTCATTAGGCATCTATTTTAATTCATGTGCAACTTTTAGAATAACTGAGTAACTTACTTATATTCAGAATTTTATTTCTTTCAGTTTTGTAATGTTTTTCAATGCATATGGAATAAGAGAGAGATTAATATGACATGTTGAGAATATATAGGTAATGTACAGATTTGATCAATGATTAGACGTAATAAAGGAAGAAAAAAAAGTTGTTCTATTGACCACGATGAATTTGTTTGCAATAATCCAATAACAAATGAATTGTATGTATAAAAAATAAATGTATAGTGATTGCTCGAAATATTTTTATCATTAACTAAAAGTATGTCTATTGTTCAATATATGTTTACTCTTCTTTTGAAATAATTTTAGATTATTGGTAGAATTTCACAAATATTTAAAGTCTAATTCAATCATCTATAGTGAAATGTTGTAATTAACTAAAATAGATCTTTATTGAATATTTTTTTTTTGAACAACATTAAAAATACTTATCCATTAAATAACATGACAAATCTGATCTTATTCTCGTTGCTTTGTTTTTACTTCGTGAATAAGACCACATGAATCGTCGTTGGCAAATAATTAGGTTTAAAATATTAATTAAAATAATCATTTACTGAATATATTACTGTACGAATATAGATAAAATTTACAAAAAAAAAAGAAATTAATACAATCAATTCATTTATGGTTTATGCTTAAGGTATTCAAATACCAATAATGTTTTTATTTGACAAATTAAATATGTATTTTATATATTGATATCAAAAAGAAAAACAAATGAAAGAATAGTCGTATAAAAAAATAACATTGTATCGTTTGCGGATAATCTAAAAGTAGTTTTTTTTGTTTATTGAACGGAAGTTATTCTGTACATTTGCCAAGAAAAAGAAAATCAATTCAACCAGTACGTCAAACGTTGATAATATCGTTTTGATCGATTTGAGTAGATGTATTTGTAGTAGCGCAGTAAGTTCGAATACCACCAATAAGAAAGACTAGTACTAATATAATAATTGAGAGTGGAAAGAGGATGAGAGCACATAACAATTGAATCCGTGCCCAATCTGCTTTGTCAGAAATCATTGAATGCCAAGCACTTATAAGTAGGGGTGGTACGTTTACGTTAATTTAAAATTAACGTTAACTAAAATCGTTAACCGTTAATATTAACGGTTAACTAATACGTTAACGTTAATATTAACGTTAACGAAAAACCGTTAACGTTAATATTAACGTTAACTCGAACCGTTAACCGTTAATATTAACGGTTAACGGTTTTCCTAAAAACGTTAATTCGTTAATATTAACGGTTAACGTTTTAGTTAACGTTAATATTAACGTTAACGGTTTTTAGTTAACCGTTAATTTATTGTAAATTAACTCATTAACGTATATACAACAATCATATATCGTTTAATTTCGAATTTTTTCATGGAAAAATCAACATTCACACAATAACTATTTTCATGCTATCGATGAGGATGT